TGTAAGTGGTTGTTTCAGCGACGACTTTATAAGTGAGTGTCCGATTGATGAAAGGCTACAAAAGTTTGCTGACTATTTTTTAAAAACATATATTTCTGAAGATTGTATTTATCCTCCAAAACTATGGGCACTTGCATCTTCAGAACTTACACGCACAACAAACGCCTGTGAGTCATTTCATTCACATTTTAAGAATAGTTTTTATCGACATTCACCATCTATTTTGCAATGGTTAAATGTTTTAATCGAAGAAGTCCAAACTGACGTCTATTGCAAATTAAGAAGCGTCGATGAACAAAAAACACCGTGAAACCAAATTTTAAAAAGAAAAAAAAACCGGTATTTAATTGATCAGTATAAAAGAGGAGAAATATGCCGATATACTTTTGTCAAATCAATAGCGTATAACTATAATAAATAGTAACATTATACAATATTTTATATAATTTTAATATTAAGTATCACTTGAATGTGTTTTTATAAAATCATATATTTAATTAAAAATTGAATAAGTACCTAATTATTTTTGTTTTTTTAAAAATCATTAACAATTATTAATAGCTCCACTTGTTAACATGGCAAGGGGTTACCAAAATATAGAAACAAAAATTTGTGGTGGCGGAAAAAGGAAATATATATTATTGTGCTGACGGTAAACGGAAAGGTCGATTTTGGCGGAAAAGTAGATCACCCAAGACGTAAAGTGGTATAACAATAAAAAGTAAAAAACACGTGAGATTTGAGTAAACAATTAACTAAAAATTTAAAATAATAAAATTTAAAATATTAAATTATTGAACATTGAATCAGTCACACTACCTTCTACTCTTGTGATTTGTGAGTCGTATTTTCATTGAGATTTGAGAGCTCGTTAGGCGAACGCACAACTAGCGCTTCAGCGGTCAATATTGTTATTAAGCGAAACTTAGAAAATAATAATAAAACACGGGCGATATAGGAAAATGCACTGACGTCCGAAGAGCCGTCAATAGCATGGTTTCGAAGTCGTTTCGTGCACCGGTAATTAGTTGACGGCGCACAGTGGGCTGAAATGTAATTTAACTTCCATAAATTATAATTTTGAAAAATTACAAAATTTTATTTTTACTGAAAATTGTTATTCCCTAGATGTTATTGATTTGTATTATGTCATTAGTTAATAAATTGTTCAAATTTTATCTCAACAAATTACAATATATATTAATTTATATAAAACAATATTTAATTATCAAAATACATTATTTAATTTTTTTTTTATTTATATGTCAGTCTATATTTAAAATTTTACTTAATTTTACTTTTTCAAACTAGATTTCAGATGAAATATTGATATCAGTATTCACACATCAATCACTGAATTAACGACATCTCTATATTTATTGTAACTAAGAATTATTTGTAATCTATATTTAATTATTATATGATGCTCTTGTATTTTATTTCTCCTTACATGAAAAATGTGTCATTGATTATTAATCTTATTTTATTAGTTTAAACTAAATACTTAAATAACATTCAATCTCCGAAAAACAAAAAAAAATTGTAAATTTTACGAATTCGTAAATTTATAAATATTATTTGAGCTTATTGAATTTTATCAAGCATTTCATTTTTTTAATTGGATTATTACGTAAGCTATACCTACTAAGTATACGACATAAACCTATTAATATATAAAAGTATAAAATATGTATAAAATAATCTATATATATTTTTCTAAATAATTATATTTTACTAATATTATTTTCTTTAACTAATTTAATTAAACTATTTTAGGAAGTTCTTTTCAAAACTAAAAAAATTTTAAATATATAGACCTTTATATGATTTTGAGAAACAATGGATTTATAAAACCACAAAGTGTCCAGTCAAGAGATTTATTATTTTCGAAAATTCGTGAAAAATATTCTGGCGAAAATTGGGGTTGTAATTATATAGATAAAATTAAAAATAATATACTCAATTTTACAATAATGGTTGCACGAAAATGGCATCAAAGTAATAGGAAATATGACAAATTTATTAAAAAAAACAATAACTGACTTGAAACAATATTTAAATTACCTCTATCTGAAATATCTTCCAATAAAAGCAAAGGAAATTCTATGGTTGGTCATCCAAGTAAATCATTTTTAGAATGTAGAGAAAAAACGAAAAAAATGAAAGTGCAATCTCTTGTGAAATTGTACACTTCACCTGAACTTGTATACGTAGTTTTATCGAAATTCCAAAAATCAGGAAAAAGAGATGCAGCTCAAATATTAAAAGAAGTCACAGAGTCACCCACCAGAGCTGCCAAGTACAAAAAAAGTTTAAATCATTTTGATCGTAATATTCCAATTTTATTTACTTGCGAAGAAGCTTTGGCTTTTATGGTACAAAACAAATTAACCAAACAATAGTACATAGATATCAGACTTGAATCAAAAAAATGTAATTATGATATATATCCACCATATGAATGCATTGTTAATGCTAAAAAGGAATGTTATCCGGATAATTTACACGTGTCTGAAACCAATTGTTTTATCCCAACGCAAGATTTATTAAATCATACAATCCACAGAATTTTTAAAACAGCAGCACCTAAAATAATTGAAATGCAAATGGAAAAATTTGAAATGATTTACAAATGGGGTTGTGATAGTAGTAGTGGCCAATCACAGTAAAAAGTCAAGTTTGACACGGACTCAAGTCGGTAT